AGGTCCTAGGTGGTCTTCTGTGAAGGAGAAGGACCTAGGTGGTCTTCTGCGAAGGAGAAGGTCCTAGGTTGGTCTTGGGGTGTCATGGTGATGGATCTCCCTAGGAACAAGGAAGAATGGTTCCTGTGCTAGAGAGGGCTTCAAAATGTGCCCAACCTTCTAAGGGGAGGACCTCTGTAGAAAGCCCACCATTATTTTCTTCTCGTTGCCTCAAATTATGGATGTCCACCTCAAGGGCATCTCCAGCAATAGTTCCTTCCAGAAGCCACCGATGTTCTCCACCATGATGTCCCACAGTCCTGTACCAGCAGCAAAAGTACAGGATCCTCCCACCTTCTCTGCTTCTCATACCATGACGATGATGTTATCCGTTCCATCGAGTCCAAGTCTTGACAATTCCATGCATCAAAGTCTTTCCACATCTTCCAATCTTTGAGTTGTCTCATTCTCTGGCCGGTGTCACTTTTGAGGGTCTCCAGCCACCGTGTTTTTTTGGCAGCCTGGTTTCCGTTGACTGCTAACTCTTCCCAACATAATTGCTTTCTCCGGTGAATTCCCGCTCTTGACATGGCCAAAGTAAGTGAGACGCAGCTTCGTGACTTTTCCTCCCAGTGAGGTGCCTGGTGTGTGATGTGCTTGTTAGCCTCCTTTGCTGTCCTTGGAAGATACAGGCACCTTCTCCAGCAACACACCTCCATTTTCTTCCTGTCTTGCTTTTTTTAAGGCCCAACTTTTGCAACCATAGGTACCTACGGGGAAGACAGTAAAGCGGGTTAACCTACATTTGGTTCCAATAACTGTTGGACCCGATTCCCTGTCCAACGCATTAACTGCAGCTTCTTCCAAGGCCAGAACCAGCAATGGCCTCCCTGAGCTCAGGACTCCCCGTAGATAGCGGAAGAACAGAAACACGGAGTTGGAAGGGACCTCGGAGGTCTTCTATTCCAACCCCTATACCCTCCGTGTCCAACCTTGGAACTTTAAGACTTGTGGACTTCAACTCCCAGAAATCTGAGATTAAAGTTCCCAAGGTTGGACACCTTTACTCTATACCATTCCAGACGAATGGCTGTCCAACTTTCTTAAAAACCTCCATTGATGGAGCAACCACAACTTCAGGAAGCAAGTTGTTCCACTGGTTAATTCTCCTCACGGTCAGGAAGTTTCTCCTAGGTTGCTTCTCTCTGTCAGGGTTCCGGCGATTGCCCTAATTACATCACGAGCCTCGAACCAAGCTTCAAAAAAATCCAAAAGGTTTAATAGGAGCAACATGTCACCCTTGAGCCGTATGAAGCCAATTCTGCCACATGTCATTTACCGTCCCCTGTGACCCTGTTTCTCCCCTCCCACCCACCCCCCGGGTGTGTCATAAATCAGATTCTCCAATGAAGGATTTTCCTGGGCAGAAGATCCGGTAGCCTCGGCTACAATCTTTGTAAGATAAGCGTGGAATGCGCTTCTGGTTTTAAACTGCCACATTGCTTCTTGAGATTCCCTCCCTCCCTCCCTCCTTTGTTTATGGCAACTCAAAAACAGGCCTAGGAGTGCTTTGCGAGTTGACTCTCTCCTTGATGCGTTGCCCTGCCCCCAGGTGCTTTGGAGAAGAGGTGGACCCCTTCCCCCTTGAGGGAGAGCTCTTGGCAGGGTCTCCTTCCGTCCCTCCATCCTTGCCTCCTGAGTGGTGACACCCTCTGCCTCCCCCCACCCCTACCCCAGTGACCAGGGCGGGGATGGCCATGCCTCAGCCACAGCAAGGAATGTCTTGGTGGACCTCAGCAACCGTCTCCCTCCTTTCCGTCTCAGGTGCTCGCTGCCTGGACCTTGGCCGGAGTGTGCTCTGCAAGTGCCTCCCGGGGTTTGCCAGCTCCCGCTGCGAACTGAACATCGACGACTGCGCCTGCAACCCTTGCGCTAACGGAGGCACCTGCATCGACGGCCCCAACTCCTACTCCTGCTCCTGCACCCTGGGCTACGGCGGGAAGGACTGCAGCGTGCGCATGGACGCCTGCAGCTCCAACCCTTGCCAGAACAGCGGCACCTGCTACACTCACTTCTCCGGCCATGTCTGCGAGTGTCCGGCCGGCTTCATGGGCTCCAGCTGCGAGTTCCACGTCCAGCTGCCCACGCCCGTCAGCAGCCCGTGGATGGCCGAGGGACCCGTCCCCACCGCCCTGGCCGTCTCCTTCGCTCTGGGGCTGCTGACCTTGCTGCTGGCAGCCTGCGCCATCCTGGCGGTGCTTCAGCACCTGAGGAACGGGTCTCACCCCCGGAAAAGCCGCGTCTGCAACGACCTGGTGGCCGTCAACAACTTCAGAGACCGGGAGAACCGCCTCCTCTCACGCGGCTGCTTCAAAGTCTCCAACAAGGAAGCCCCGTTTCACGGGGATCGCTTCAGCTGCAAGCGGAAACTGCTGGACCAGAGTTACGAGTCCATCTGCAAGAAGCTGGACAAGTAAGTGGCACCTGGTGGCAATTAGCAATAGCCCTTAGACTTATATACCGCTTCACTGGGCTTTCCGGCCCTCTCTAAGCGGTTTACAGAGTCAGCCTCCTGCCCCCCAACAATCTGGGCCCTCATTTGACCCACCTCGGAAGGACGGGAGGCTGAGTCAACCTTGAGCCGGTCAGGATTGAACTCCTGGCGGTGGGCAGAGTTAGCCTGCAATACTCCATTGTAACAGGAAGGAAGGAAGGAAGGAAGGTTGGTTGGCTGGTTTACAGAGTCAGCCTCCTGCCCCACAACAATCTGGGTCCTCATTTTACCCATCTCGGAAGGACGGAAGGCTGAGTCAACCTTGAACCTGGTGGGATTCAAACTGCCAAATTGCAGGCAGCCGGGTGCAGAAGGAGCTTGTAGCAGCACTCCACTCTAACCACTCGCCATTGAGGCTCTGACGGTTTGGCCACGGTGAGCCAGGAACTTGGGGGGTCAGGATGGGGCTCAGCCCAGGTTGGTCAACTCTGGGGGGAGGGAATGGAGAATGTGATCCGAAAATGACCCGGGTGCTGTGTTCAAATCACGTGAAACTCATCTGAAGAAGAGAAAAACCAATCAGGTGACCCCTTTATGCTCGGAGGATGCTCGTGTTTGCATGCTGAGCCTGACTAGGCGTCCCTTACAAGCCACGATGGCTTATAACTCTGTGGCATTCAAGGGTTGGGCGGGGGAGGGGGAATCGGTGAACTGGCTCCTTTCTGGCCTGCCGAGCAAAATTTCAGGGACTCGCAGGGCCTTCTCCAACCTGGTGCCCTCCAGATCTACCGGTTCGTCTTCCCAGCGTAATACTTGCTGGTAACTTGGGTGAGAATCCTCCTCCTCCCCTCCCCCGCCCCCTGCAAACCCCTCTCCCTTCTAGCCCTGAAGATGTTTCCTAGTTGGGTCATGAAACGTCTGCAAGGAAATGTCCAATCTCAGAGAGCATCAAGAAGCCCACAGTCCTCCTCCTCCTCCTCCTCCCCCTCTTCCTCCCCCTCCTCCTCCCC